AACGTTTTTATTTATTTTTGAGACAGAGAGAGACAGAGCATGAACAGGGGAGGGGCAGAGAGAGAGGGACACACAGAATTGGAAGCAGACTCCAGGCTCTGAGCCATCAGCCCAGAGCCCGACGCGGGGCTCAAACTCACGGACCGCGAGATTGTGACCTGAGCTGAAGTCGGACGCTTAACCGACTGAGCCACCCAGGCGCCCCCCTAGTGACCTGATCTTAACTTGATTACCTCTGCAACGACTCTATTTCTAAATCAGGTTACATTCACAGGTACCAGGGTTTATGACTTCAACATTTGGCGGGGAGAGAACGTAATTCATCCCATAACAGAGCATTATACTCTCATTCTGAGATAGTTAATGGAGGCCTCATTATTTTAATAACATTACTAATTATAATAACTGTTATAAAAAGTTCCATAGTGTATTTCTCTTTCTTTAAAAAATAATGTTGGGGCACCTGGGTGGCTCAGTCAGTTAAGTGTCTGACTTCAGCTCAGGTCATGATCTCACAGTTCACAAGTTCAAGCCCTGCATTGGGCTCTGTGCTGACAGCTCAGAGCCTGGAGCCTCCTTCGGATTCTGTCTCTCTCTCTCTCTCTCTCTCTCTCTCTCTCTCTCAAAAATAAATAAAAAACATTAAAAAAAAATAATAATGTCTCTCTCCATTATACAATAAGCCCAAAAGGTGTCATTGATCACACACGTGTATATTTTTTTAGTATAGTTGACGCACAATATTACTTTAGTTTCAGGTGTACAACATAGTGATTCAACAAGTTTATACGTTATGCTTTGTTCACAAGTGTAGCTACTGCCTCTCACCATACATCACTGTTACAGTGTCATTGACTTTCTTCCCTATGTCTTGCCTTTTGTTCCATGACTTATTCATTCCATAAATGGAACCCTGTATCTCCCACTCCCCCTCACCATTTTGCCCATTCCCCCACTCCCCTTCCCTCTGGCAACCATCAGTTTGTTCACTGTATTTATAGGTCTCATTCTGCTTTTTGTTTGTTTAAATTTGGGTTTTTGTTTTGGGAGGGTTAGATTCCACTTATGTATGAAATTGTGTTACTTGTCTTTCTCAGTTTTATTTCACTTAATACCCTTTGTGTATTATGCTATCTTTGGTTAAATACCCATGTGCAATTACTGGACTGTACGGACTGTACAGTATTTCTATTTTTTTTAATGTTTATTTATTTTTGAGAGAGAGGGAGAGGCAGAGAGAGAGGAAGAGAAGGAGACAGGATCCAAAGCAGGCTCTGCACTGACAGCAGAGATCCCAATGTGGGGCTCCAGCTCACAAGTTGCGAGATCAGGATCTGAGCCAAAGTCAGACACTTAACTGACTGAGCCACCCAGCCGCCCCTGCTATTTCTATTTTTAATTTTTTGAGGAACCTCCATACTGTTTTCCCACAGTGGCTACACCAATTTACATTCCTACCAACCAGTGCAGGAGGGTTCCTTTTTCTCTGCATCCTTGCCAAGATGTCATTTCATGTCTTTCTTATTTTAACTGTTCTAACAGGTGTGAGGTGATATCTCATTGGTGTTATGATTTGCATTTCCCTGATGATAAGTGATGTTGAGCGACTTTTCTTGTGTCTGTTGGCCATCTGTATGTCTTCTTTGTACATTCAGTCCTCTGATCATTTTTTAGTTGGATTGTTCGGCTTTTTGTCATTGAGTTGTAGAAGTTCTTTATATATTTTGAATATTAACCCCTTATGAGATACATCCTTTGCGAATACCTTCTCCCATTCAGTAGGTTGCCTTTTGTTCAACTGATGGTTTTCTTTGCTGTGCAAAAGATTTTTGTTTTATTTTGGTGTAGTCCCAGTAGTTTATCTTTGCTTTTGTTACCTTAGGAAGCATATCTAGAAAAATATTACTATAGCTCTCACATTTAGGTTTTTAATTCATTTTGAGTTTATTTTTGTGCATGGTGTTAAAAGGTAGTCCAGTTTCATTCTTTTACAGGTAGCTGTCCAGTTTTCCCAGCAACATTTATTGAAGAGACTGTCCTTTCCCCATTTTATATTCTTGCCTCTTTCATCATAGATTAATTGATCATATAATTGTGGGTTTGTTTCTGAGTTCTCTATTCTGTTCTGTTGATCTGTGTCTATTTTTGTGTCAGTACCATAATGTTTAGATTTGCAGTACAATTTAAAAAAATTTTTTTATTATATTTATTTATTTTGAGAGACAGCAGGCTCCAGGCTCTGAGCTGTCAGCGCAGAGCCCAATGCAGGGCTCAAACTCACAAGTGTGAGATCATGACCCAAGCCGAAGTCAGATGCTCAACTGACTGAGCCACCCAGGCACCCCTGCAGTATAATTTGAAATCTGAAATTTTGATACTTCCAGATTTGTATTTCTTTCTCAAGATTACATTGGCTGTTTGGGGTCTTCTGTGGTTCCATACAAATTGTAGTATTATTTGTTTTTGTTCTGTGAAAAATAATGTTGGTGTTTTAATAGGGATGGTATTGAATCTGTAGATCCCTTTGGCTAATAGGGACATTTTAACAATAATAATTCCTCAGATTCATGAGCATGGAATATCTTTCCATTTGTGTGTGTCTTGTGTTATAGTTTTCAGAGTACAGGTCTTTCACCTCTTTGGTTAAGTTTATTCCTAAATTTTTGGTGCAATTGTAAATGGAACTGTCTTCTTAATTTCTCTTCCTTCTACTTTGTTATTAGTATATAGAAGATAGAAGCACTACTGATTTCTGGGTATTAGTTTTGTATCCTACAACTTTACTGAATTCATTTATTACTTCTAGTTGTTTTTTGGTGGAGTCTTTAAGATTTTCTATGTATAGTATCATGTCATCTGCAAATAGTGACAGTTTAACTTCTTTACCAACATAGATGCCTCTTATTTCTGTTCTTGTCTGATTACTGTGGCTAGGATTTCCAGTACTATGTTGAATAAAGAGGCAAGAGTGGACATCCTTGTCTTTTCCCTGTCATGTTGAGGTATGTTTCCTCTAAACCTACTTTGTTAAGAGTTTTTATCATGAATGGATGTTGAGTTTTGGCAGATGCTTTTTCTGCATCTGTTGACTTGATCATATGATTTTTATCCTTCATTTTATTGATGTGGTATATATCACATTGAGTGATTTGTGAATATTGAACCACCTTGCATCCCCAGGATGAATCTCACCTGATCATGGTGAATGATTTTTTAATGTATTGTTGAATTCAGTTTGCTAATACTTTGTTGATGATTTTTACATCTATGTTCATCAGGAATATTGGCTCATACTTTTCTTCCTTTTTTTTTTTTTTTTTTTTTTTTTTTTTTTTTTTTTTTTTTTGGTGTCTTTGTCTGGTGTTGGTATCAGGGTGATGCTGGCCTTATAGAATGTATTTAGAAGCTTTCCTTCTTTTTCTATTTTTTAGAATAGTTTGAGAAGAATAGGTATTAACTCTTCTTTAAATGGTTGATAGAATTCACCTGTGAACCCATCTGGTCCTGGACTTCTGCTTTTGGTAGTTGTTTTTATTACTGATTCAGTTTCATTACCTGTAGTCAATCTGTTGAGATTTTCTATTTCTGGTTCAGTTTTTGAAGATTATATGTTTCTAGGAATTTATTTCTTGTAGGTTGTTTAATTTGTTGACATACAACTTTTTGTAGTATTCTCTTATATTCCTTTGTATTTCTGTTGTATCAGTGTTACTTCTCTTTTGTTTCTGATGTTATTTATTCGGGTCCTTTCTGTTTTTTACTTAATTAAGTCTGGCTAAGGGTTTATCACTTTTGTTTATCTTCAAAGAACCAGCTCTTGGTTTCATTGATTTCTTTTTCTTTCTCTCTCTCTCTCTCTCTCTCTCTCTCTCTCTCTCTTTTTATGTGTGTGTGTGTGTGTGTGTGTCTATACATTTATTTCTGCTCTAATCTTCAGTATTTCCTTCTTTCTGTTTACCTTGGGTTTTGTTTGTTCTTTTTTTTCTAGTTCCTTTAGGTGTAAGGTTAGATTTTTTTATTCAAGCTTTTTCTTATTTCTTGAGGTAGGTGGGCCTGTATTGCTATGTATTTTCCTCTTAGAACTTCTTATGCTGTGTCCCAAAGATTTTGGGCCATTTTTGTTCTCATTTTCACACATGTGTATTTTATTGTCTTCTAAATGCAGGTGCTAGAAAGGAAGCAGAGATGATTGGTTCTATAACTAGGGCTTGTAAGAGATGTCCAAAAGTAGTATCACTCAAATCATAGTTTATATACCTTCAAAATAAAATAGAAAGTCATAAGACTTTGTGAAGGATGTTTGGAACAGCAGTTGACTACTAATATATATTGTTCCCTTTATCCCAATCACAAGAATTATACATAGACCAGTTTAAGACTAGTGCTAGAATCCATCTCTAGAGTGAAATAAAATAACATGTTTATGAAATTGTATTCATATGTGTTGGATTGAAAATTACAAGTGCTATATACAATATAGGGTAACTTTGGAACCAGGTTAAAAGAACAGAATAGTATCTTTTGATACTAGTGGTTCCATTGCTAGTTTCCATTGTTTTTTAAAATGCTTCCAAGTGTTTTCTAATCCACAAATGTTTTCATCTCTACCCTGTCACAATGTAATTATTTGAGTGTCTGTCACCCCTTCATATTCTAGTGTAGTAAAAATCAGCAATCTTGGGGGCAGGAGTGGAGAACTGAAGTGTTGTTGTTGTTGTTGTTGTTGTTGTTGTTGTTGTTGTTACAGCCCATTACCTTGTTCCTCTGGCACATGCTGAGACATGCTGAGACATTGCTCACATTTTATTGCTCCCACCAAGTCTTAGACTTTTACCTATTTGTTCTTTGGTTGCTTTTCTTCAACCATTTTGAATTAAGGCATTGACTTCTTATATTGTCATGGCCACCTCCTTAAGTTCCTTATTTCTCCTTAACTTTCAATTATGTAACAAGAATAAAAACTTAACTATTATTTCTTTCTTTCTTTTAAAACAATACAGGGCAATCTAGAGCAGCCATGATACCACCCAAGCATCCACGGCAGCCTAAGGGAACTTTGGATGATGCTGTTGTCTTTAGTGGGAAAACAGACGAAGAAACACCTAATGCTTCCCAACCTACACCACCCCCACTGCCAAAGAAAACGATCATAAGAGCCAATACAGAACCAATCCCCAAAGACCTCCAAAAATCCATGGAAACAAGTCTTTGTGTAATGGCTAATCCCACCTATGATATCGACCCCAACTGGGATGCCAGTAGTGCTGGCTCTTCCATCAGTTATGAACTCAAGGGACTGGACATTGAGTCTTATGACTCCTTGGAAAGACCTTTGCTCAAGGAGAGACCTGTCCCCTCAGCAGCAAACAGTATCTCCAGCTTAACCACTCTCAGTATTAAGGATAGATTTTCCAACAGCATGGAGTCCCTATCCAGCCGGCGTGGTCCCTCTTGCAGACAGGGCCGAGGCATACAGAAGCCACAGAGACAAGCACTTTATAGAGGACTTGAGAATCGGGAAGAAGTGGTGGGTAAAATCCGAAGCCTTCATACAGATGCCTTGAAAAAACTGGCTATTAAATGTGAAGACCTCTTCATGGCTGGACAGAAAGATCAGCTCCGTTTTGGGGTGGACAGCTGGTCAGACTTCAGGCTAACTAGTGACAAACCGTGTTGTGAGGCAGGTGATGCAGTTTACTACACAGCTTCATATGCAAAAGATCCACTTAATAACTATGCAGTCAAGGTAAGAAAATATTATAAATTTGATTTTAATCTTACCCAACACACTGTTATTGGGATGGGTCTGTTCTTTCCTCCATTCTTTTATTCAGCAAAAAGTTATTGATCATCTACCTTACACCAGTAGCTAATCCTTGAGCTGTGATTGTTTGCGAAGGCTACCTATACAAATGGGTCTGTTATGTCCCTTCCACTCCATGTTTCTGTCTTTATTCTCTAGCAAATAAGAGACACTGGTCTGCCCCTGCTCTATAACTGTTCTGCTTCTTGGGGAGACATTTTTACAGAAGAAGGTAACCAATATTTGTTGATGTGCCAGGAACATTATTGGTGTTACATAATTTGATCTTCACATCAAGTTTATGAGGTTAAGATCTTTTTATCCATGTGATGGATGAGGAAACTAAAAGATAGGTGAGCTTACTTGCTTAGGGTCACACACAATTACTTGAGCTGGGATTTGCACACAGATCTCTCTGACTCCATAGCCCAACTTACTTTATCCATTATGTCACATATTAATTTCTTAACTGTATATTGCCCATTCCAGACAAACAACCTCTTCACAAAAGCTAAAACTATTAACATTAAGAATTCTTGCCCAGTTACATTCACTATAAATAAGCCATAGGCTTTGTCAATGTAACAAATGAAGCATGATCTTTGTTACATTTCCATTTTCATTTGTCTCAAGCTATTCTTTTTTATTTCTCTGGATTTCTTCTTTGACCCATTGGTTGTTCAGTAGCATGTTGTCTAATCTCCACAAATTTATGAATTTCCCAGTTTTCTTTGTGTAATTTTTGTGTTAATTTCTAGTTTCATACCATTGTAGTCAGAAAAGATGCTTGATAAAATTTCAGTCCTCTTAAATTTATTAAGACTTGTTTTTTGTCCTACCATGATCTATCTTGGAAAATGTTCCATGTGTGCTTGAGAAGAATGCATATTCCATTGCTTTTGAATAGAATATTGGGTATATATCTGTTAAGCCCATCTGTGGGCTTATGTGGTCTAATGTTTCATTTAAGGCTGACGTTTCCTTGTTGATTTTTTTTTTTGGTGGGGGGGGGTCTGGATGATCTATCCATTGATGTAAGTCTCCTAGTATTATTGTATTGTTGTCAATTTCTTCCTTTAGGTCTGTTAGTATTTGCTTTATATATTTACGTCCTCTTAATGTTAGTTGCATAAATGTTGACAAATGTTACAGCCTCTTGTTGGTTGATCCTTTCATCGTTACGTAACTCGTTTCTTTGTCTCTTATTACAGTCTTTGTTTCAAAGTCTATTTTGTCTGATATAAATTAACATTCTAGCTTTCTTTTGGTTTTCATTTGCATGGAATATCTTTTTCCATCCCTTCACTTTCAGTCTTGTCCTTACCTCTAAAGTGGGTCTCAGGGTGCCTGGGTAGCTCAGTTGGTTAAGCATCCTACTTTGGCCCAGGTCATGATCTCGCATTTTGTGGGTTCAAGCCCCATGTTGGAGGGCTCTGTGCTGACAGCTCAGAGCCTGGAACCTGCTTTGAATTCTGTGTCTCCCTCTCTCTCTGCCCCTTGCCTGCTCATGGTGTCTCTCTCTCTCTCTCTCTCTCTCTCTCAAGAAATAAATAATAAAACATTTTAAAAATTTTTTTAATAAAGTGGGTCTCTTTAGACAGCATATAGATGGGTCTTTTTTTTTTTTTTTTTAATCCATTCAGCCATTCTGTGTCTTTGGATTGGAGAATTTATCTATTTACATTTAAAGTGATTATTGATAGGTCTGTGCTTATTGCCATTTTGTTTATTATTTCCAGAAAGACTGTTTTTGTAGGTCATCTGTTTCTTCTCCTGATCTCTTACTTTCTGGTTTCTTCAGTGCTATGTTTATTTTCCTTTCTCTTTCTTTTTTGTGTTTTTGTTTTATGGTTACCATGAGCTTGCATATAACAACTTATATCTGTAACAGTCTGTTTTAAGTTGGTTACAGCTTAAGTTTCATCCCATTGTAAAGCTCAAAATTATTCTTCCCTCCACACATTTTGTGGTTTCTTTCATTTTATGTTTTTGATGTCACAGTTAACATCTTTTTATTTTGTGCATCCCTTAACCAATTGTAATCATAATTATTTTTACTAGTTTGTCTTTCTTTTTTTAAAAAAATTTTTTAATGTTTATTTTTGAGAGAGAGAGAGACAGCGTGAGCAGGCAAGGAGCAGAGAGAGAGGGAGACAGAATCCAAAGCAGGCTCCAGGCTCTGAGCTGTCAGCACAGAGCCCTCCAACACAGGGCTCGAACCCACAAACCATAAGATCATGACGTGAGCCAAAGTCAACACTTAACTGAGCCACCCAGGCGCCCCACTAGTTTTGTCTTTCAATCTTTATACTAGTCTCATAAGTGATTGATCCCTACCTTTACTATATATTTACTTTACAAGTGAGATTTATTCTTTAATATGTGTTCTTGTTACTAATTAGTGCACTTTGTTTTCAACTTAAACAACTTCCTTTGACATTTATTGTAAGGCCAGTTTAATAGTGGTGAACTCCTTCAGCTTTTGCTTGTCTGAAAAACTGTGTCTCTCCTTCACTTCTGAATGATAACTTTGCTAGGTAGAGTATTCTTGGTTGGGAGGTTTTTTTGTTCGGTTGGTTGGTTGGTTGGTTTTGGGGGGTTTGGTGAGTTTTTTTAGCACTTTGACTATGTTATGCCACTCCCTTCTAACTTGCAAAATTTTTGCTGAAAAATCTGTTGAGAGCCTTATGGGGGTTCCCTTGTATGTAACAAGTTGTTTTCCTCTTGCTGTTTTTAACATGTTGTCCTTTAACTTGACATTTTAATTGTAATGTGTCTTGGTGTGGGTATCTTTGGGTTCCTCTTATTTGGAACTCTGGGCTTCCTGGATGTCAATGTCTGTTTATTTCCACAGGTTAGGGAAGTTTTCAGTCATTGTTTCTTCAAATAAGATTTCTATCCCTTTCTCTTTTCTTTTTCTCAGAGCACTATGATGCAAATGTTACACTATATGATGTTCTCTACAACCCTTAAGCTATCTTCATTTTTTTTTCTTTTTTATTTGTTTGGTTTTGCTGCTCTGATTCAGTGAGTAACACTGCCTTATCTTTGAGTTGACTGATCCTTTCTTTTGCTTCATCTAGTCTGCTACTGAACCTGTCTCATGTATTTTTCCATTCAGTTATTGTATTCTTCAGCTCTGTGGCTTCTGTGTGGTACTTTCTTATATTTTCCATCTCTCTGTTGAAGTTCTTTGTGTTCATCCATTTTTCTCCCCATTCATTATAACCATTACTTTGAACTCTTTATCAGGTACATTACTTATCTCCATTTCATTAAGGTTTTTTGTTTTTGTTTTTTTGTTTGTTTTTTTCTGGGGTTTACTTGGTTTTTTCATTTGGAACATATTCCTCTCTTTTTTCATTTTGCTTGAGTCTGCGTTTCCATACAGTAGATGAAACAACCACCTCTCCCAGCCTTAAAGGAGTGTCCTCATGTAGATGAACCTTGTCATTCAATCCTGCCCCAGATCTTTGTCATCTCTCAAACCTTTGTGCCTGTTCAAGCAGGCTATTATATTTTTAATATCTCCCAGTAGTTGAGAATATGCCAAGACCCATCAGTGTCCCAAGGGGGAGAATCTCAGCACCTAGACTCAGGCTGACTGAAAGCCAAACCCTCAGGCATCAGCTTTTAAAAATAGGCAAATATAAAAAATAAAAATAAAAAATAGGCAAATATATATAATCCTGCGGGACTGCAAACATACGCAGATCTGGAACAGGTGCCCTCTGGGAAGCAGGTACAGAAACCCAGGCTCTAGACAAGAGTATAAGTTTTTTTCTGTGTGATACTGGTAAACTGGAGCATGGCAGAGAGAAAGCACCAACATGGTGTCCATAGCCTATGTTCCTGGAGACCAACTCTACAGGCCACTAAATATGTACCAAACCTGAAGTCTGCCCCTCAGGCCAAAGTTCCAGAACAAGCAAAGAGGACTTCTTCACAGAAAGACTAGGGAGTGTACGACCACTGTCTGTGCAGTGCCCTGAGTGGAAACCTGCCAAGAACTATCTCTCTGCTATAGTCCTAGGGGACCCAGGATGCAAGCCCCCTGGCCACCAGAGCCAGGTGATCAAGGAGCATTTTCTGGACAGCAACCATATAAACTGGGGCACCAGACAAAAACCAGGGCACCAAATGTGTGTACAGCTCCTGTCCAGGAGACACTGGCACTCTGGGGCATGGCAGAGGGTGAGTAGGAATATAGCATCCTCTCTCTGAGGTCTCTGGAAAGGTGTATGGTCAGCCCCATGATTAGCTAATAGGCCTTCTTCACAGAAAGACCAAGCTCCTGGGTCTGCTACCTCTTGCTCTGCCCTGGGGTTGGTAGCTGTTTAAGACCTTTTTCTCCATTGGTTACAGTCCTGTGAGACCCATGAACCCCACTGACTGCCAGAACCAGATGATAGAGAGGTGTTCCCTGACAGCAATCACAAAACTTGGGGTGTCAGACAGGGGTATAAGCTTTTTTCTGGGTGATACCAATTATTACAGTCCTATGGGACCAGGAACACAAACCCCCCCTGCCTCCAGAGCCACGCAGTCAAGAGGCATCCCCTAGACAGCAGCCATAAAAATCAGGCCACCAGACACACATAAAAGCTCATTCTTTGGGATACTAGTGCCCTGGAGCCTGGCAAAGGGAGAACATAAAGATCATACCTACCAGTCTTTGTTTCTGGAAAGTGTTCCAGCAGGCTCCTAGTTGTATGTTTCAGATTAGATGTCTGCCACTCCACTGGTGCTTTAGTCTCACACCAGTGCTTTAATATAAGCATTTGAGCCTCCTTCACTTTAAGGCAAGGCATAGTTGGCTGCTTCTTGGGTGGGTAAGTCCTAGCATGTAGGCCCTTTAAGAGCGGTTTCTCAGATTGCCACAGTTTTGTGGGTCTCAGGACACAAGCCCTGTTGGGTTTCAAAGTTACATGTTTTAGAGGCTT